GCGGCGATTGGAGCGGCTCTTGGCGACGGCTCTCCCACCGCACGGCGATTGGCACGGCGCTTCGCTCCGCGGTTGGCGACGCTTCTCCCGCCGCTCGGCGGTTGGCGACGCTTCTCCCGTCGCTCGGTGGTTGGCGACGCTTCTCCCGCCGCGGCGCTTCGTGCGGCTCTCGGCGACGCGTCTCGTCGCATGGCGGCACTTCTCGTTTTCGTCGTCGTTTGTTTCTCGTTTCCTTCGTCATCGTTTCTGTCTCGCCTTTTTATCATTCGGTTCTGACCATGGTCGTTGTTACCTGCAGTTAGTAAAGCGGCCTGTTTTGAAGCTTCACACGGCGATTCGCTACATTTCTTCCTCCGTGGAGCGGCGATTGGCGCGGCTCTCGGCGACGTCACAGCGATTGGCACGGCGCTTCGCTTGGCGGTTGGCGACGCTTCTCCCGTCGCGCGGCGCTTCATGCGGCTCTCGGCGACGCGTCTGCTCGCATGGCGGCACTTCTCTTTTTCGTCGTCGTTTTTTTCTCGTTTATTGATGTTTTCTGTTTCGCTTTGTTATCTTCAAGTTCTGACCATGCTCCTTGTTACCCGCAGTTAGTGTAGCGGCATGTTTGGCACGGCGCATCGCTCGGACGCTTCTCTCGTCGCTCGGCGGTTGGCGACCCTTCTCTCGTCGTGCGGCCCTTCGCACGGCGGTTGGCGGCTCTTCTTCAACCACCCTCCCTGGTAAGGTGTTGTTTCAATTGTACTTAATTGTTTTCTTCAAAATCACTAACAGTTTCTGTTTATCCTTGTAGCAGGAGCAGTAGCGGGAACGGGAGCGGGAACGGCAGCAACTTTTATCATAGCAAGTTGTCGTTTCAGTTAAGAATGTTATTTCATTGCTTACTACTAACATTCTCTGCTTGCCCTTGTAGCAGGAACAAGAGCAGCAACGGGAGCGGGAACGGCAACAACAACTTCCAAGGTGAGGTGTCGTTTCAGTTTTAGTAGTTTTTTATTTTACCTTTACTAATTCATTCTGCTTGCCCTTGTAGCAGGATCCGCGAGGAGCAGAGGAACAACGGATCGTCGCGGAACGACGGTGGCGCGGATCGACGGCGGAACGACGGTGGCGCGGAACGACGGTGACGCGGATCGACGGCAGGGCGTCGGAGCAGCGGAGTGGCGGCGTGGCGATGAAGCAGAGCGGCGGATCGGCGGACCAGCGAACCTCCGGCGGAGCCGCGCTGGAGTTTGACTCCTTCCCCCTCCCCCCTCCCCCGTTCCCCCTCCCTTTGCAGGCAGGAACCAGCGTTGTCAGCTAGGACGATTAGGAACGATAGATTAAGGGAGCTAGTGGTGGGGGTTTGGGTTAGGTCCGGTTTACCTCCTCCTCCTCTTCCCTCTCCTCAACGGCCGTCTTCACTGCTCTGCTCAACCTGACAACGGAAGAGAGATCTTCCTGAGGCGTCGCTCTCATCTCAAATTAACCCGAAATCATCGTCCCTCCCTTCCGAAATTATCGTCCCTCCCTTCCGAAATTATCGTCCCTCCCTTCCGAAATTATCGTCCCTCCCCTCCCAAACAGGTGTCCCGAACGAATGACCTCCACCTCAGCGCGGTGTTCGGGTGTAACGCTAGAGGCATTTGCCTCTAGCGGCCAAGAGGGGTCAAGGGTAAGTGGAAGATCGAGCGGCGACGGATCTGCGGAGGAGGCGATGTTCAAACGGCGGCGGATCTGAGGAGGAAGACACTCCGGAGGAAGACGCTCTAGAGATACATTTTGGAATTGTATGGCTTGTACTTTATAAATCCAATTGTTGTACTTCATAAATCCAAGTGCTGTTTATGACTTTTGGGAATAATAAGGTTTAGGCATTACACAATGTCAAAATTAGAAGAAAGAAAGAGGATTGAACTAGCAAGAATGAGGATACAAATAGCAAACCCTAGAAGGGTTGTACTCGCTATAGAGCACCCCACTACAGGCTAGAACAATAAGATAATATTCTGACACACCCCCATAGCCAAAGTGGAGTGTAATCAGCAGAGCAGGCAAAGCAAAACAAGCTCAGGGTGGATCACAATGTCACCACACATTCTGAGCACAAGTTCAAGAAGAAATAGTTTAGAGTTCACAATTATAAGCAAAGCTAGTGGTAGTCACAACGGGCAAGTGAGGAGGAGGAGGGAGAGTGAGGGGAGAGGAGACAGGAGGCGACGGCTGAAGCTGCAGACACACGGGCAACAGGAGGCAGACTGGCACAGCGGCTACCGGACAGCGCCCGGACTACAGGAGTAACAGGCCCCGCGGCTCAAATAGCGGCGGACGGGCAACGGACCCACGGGCGGCTGGCACAGCTGGCTACGACTGGGCTACCGGGACAGCGCCCCGGACTACAGGTGCTGCGAACGACAAACTGACAACCTCCACTCAACCTCTCGCACACAGTCCCACCCCCCTGATACACACCCACTGCTACACCGCTAGCTCTACTCCCACGCACCCCCTTTAAACCCTAAACCCGAGTCTCCCACACAACCACCCCCCTCAGCGACAGCTGCAGCAGTGGGAGACGGAGGAGGAGGAGGAGCAAAGGGAGGAAGGCACACCGAGCACCCCCATACCCGCCACCCCACAGCAAGCGGCCCCCTCAGGTCGCCTCGACGGACGACGGGAAATGGGGGGGAGGGGAGAAAAAGGGGGGGGGGGGGCCGGTGCCGCGACGAGGGGCGGGGCCGCGACGGTCGGGGCGGGGCCGCGACATAGGGCGGGGCCGCGACGTAGGGCGGGGCCGCGACATAGGGCGGGGCCGCAACATAGGGCGGGGCCGCAAAGGTAGGGCGGGGCCGAGCCGGGCAGGCGCACGGGCGGCGACGGGCCGGGGCGGGGCCGCGACGAAGGGCGGGGCCGAGCCGGGCAGGCGCACGGGCGGCGACGGGCCGGGGCGGGGCCGCGACGAAGGGCGGGGCCGAGCCGGGCAGGCGCACGGGCGGCGACGGGCCGGGGCGGGGCCGCGACGTAGAGCGGGGCCGCGTCGAGGGGCGGGGCCGCGACGATCGGGGCGGGGCCGCGACGTAGGGGAGAAGCCCGCCGCGCGCCTCGGGGCGCACAGCGGGCAATGAACCGCCGCGCGCCTCGGGGCGCACGGCGGGCAGAAAACCGCCGCGCGCCTCGGGGCGCACGGCGAGAAGAAAACCGCCGCGCGCCTCGGGGCGCACGGCGGGAAGGAAAACCGCCGCGCGCCTCGGGGCGCACGGCGGGAAGGGAAAGGTAGCAGCGGAAGCGAGGTGGTAACCCACCCACAGGATCGATCCAAGGGGATCGACCTGCTCTGATAGCATGACAAAATTAGAAGAAAGAAAGAGGATTGAACTAGCAAGAATGAGGATACAAATAGCAAACCCTAGAAGGGTTGTACTCGCTATAGAGCACCCCACTACAGGCTAGAACAATAAGATAATATTCTGACACACAAACCATCCTGCATACTCCATGGAGCTCAGGCTGCCGCGCGCGGCATAGGCGACTCAGCTTCAAATATGTTTCAAATATGAAGTCACGCTGTGTCTAGTCAGGTGCGACACGGCCGCTCCCTTCTGTGCTAAAGAACGGACGAAAGTTGAACGGATGGCGGTGGATGATCGTAGCCGCAGTCAACACTGGAGACCACCTCGCGCTGTGGGATGGAGCTGGTGGTACAGTACAATTTGAACACTTTTAGTTTCTGGCTTAGAGATACTCAGGGAGCGAATTGCTTGTGGATGGTCTTTGTCAGCTGGCTACGCAGGTTTGGAGCTGGGGCAGGAAGAGTCTAGGAGAAATCTGACGTGGCAGTTCTTGTTTGCGTAATGTGCGGAATGTTGTAAGAAGTGGAGCTGCCACGAAGTTGAGCTGCCTCTGAACGAGGTTCGGGCAGCTGAGATATGGAGAGGTGGATGAGATAAAAATCACGAGAGCCAATAGGGATTGAGGGTGATTTGGTCCACTGTCGCACATCCACCAACCAGTCTTTACCGACCGGCACCTCACACCTTTCATTCACTTCACTGATGCACGCCTGTCATCTTCGTTTCTATCTTTTAGGTCTTCAGTTTCTGCTATATTTAAGCGCTACGCGCTTTACTGCCGCTTTCTGCTTTTCATCCCGCATTCCTTCTCGGAGCTAAGCGCAATTGAAGTCTTAACACCGTGGTTAGTGTGTGTCGCGGTTAATATTTGCCGTAGATTAATATTCGCCGCTTCACGTAGCTTCAAGTAAGTACCGCCAGCTATACGATTTTTGCGTTCATCTTAAAAGTTGCGTTGCGGCCCGAGTAATAACGTTCATTTGCAGGCGGACTAATGACGCTCTAGCACCATTTGCGGACGCAATAGTACCGTATGGCCCCGGATATAGGCGCCGGCCTATTACAGGCGCCGGCGCTTCTATCTGGAGCATGGCGCTTATGGCCGATCCTCGATTATAAGCGCCCCCCCTGTAAAACCATTACTTATTATAAGCGCCCCCCCTTTTTAATTTAAATATCAATTAAAATCGGTAACAAATTTCAGTTTTGCAGCGAGTCAATTTTCATTTTTGCCTTTTTTTGACTCGCGAAGACCTGACTGGCTGTGCGTCCAGTCAGGATGTGCTGGCATCCCTGCAAAGTGACGCGAATTTGACAGTGTGCAGGAAGCAGAATCGCTTGCGCGCGATTCTGCTTCGTGGTACTCTATATGATTTCGACTCGTTTCAAATTTGTACATTTAACGTATAAATTTGTATGTGTCATTATATAAGCGCCGGCGCTTATGGCCGTTACTCAATTACAAGCGCCACCCCTAAAATTTTTGAACTTATTATAAGCGCATATGCGCTTATATCCGGGGCCAAACGGTAGTACCGATCTGCGAGCACATAGATCCGTATGCACTTAACATGCGGACGCGTTGATAGCTTCGGTCCGTAGGCGCGTGCACATTGAAGCGGACCGTTACCACGCAAGACGGTAAAACAAGTGAAAGCTGAGCAGAAAGGGAGCATGCGGGGTGGGGGAGAAGGGCTGAGAGGGAGAGTGGCGGGGTGTGGTTGGGAGTGGTTGGGTGGGGAGGGATACTCTCATCTTCTACCGCTCTCTCCTCGTTCCCCCGGTTCTCCCCCATCTCTTTCCGCTCATTCCTCATCTCCTTACCGCTCACCTCTTTGCTCTTTGCTCAATTCGCCCTACTCTCCCCTCGTTCCCCCCACCCCACCTCCCCTTTTCCCCCCCTCCCCGGTTTCATCTCGTCTTCTTATCGCTCACCCCTCATTTCCTTTCTGTTTCCCACTCAGTTCTCCCCGCTATTTCCTCCTTCCCATCACTCTCTTCCCCGCTTTCATCTCGTCTCCTTACTGCTCACCCCTCATGTCCGCTCTGCTCGTTGCTCAATTCTCCCTGCTCTCCCCCCTTCCCCGCACTCCTCCCCCTTCCTCCCCGCTTTCATCCCGTCTCCTTACCGCTCACCCGGCTGGTCCCCTCTGTTCTTACGTGATTTCGCCCTGTTCTCCCCTCGTCCGCACCCCTCTGTAAGCCCGTCTCCCCTCCGCTCTCCTCTCACCTCTCCCCCCCCCCTGTTCACCCCTCATATCCCCTTCTTTACATTTATTTCTCTACCTCCCCTCTTCATTCCCCCCTTCACTCTTCCCCCGCTCTTTCCGCATCTTCCCCCGCTCTTTCCGCATCTCCCCCGCTCTTTCCGCATCTCTCCCCGCTCTTTCCGCATCTCCCCCGCTCTTTCCGCATCTCCCCCTCCCCCCACCTCCTCCCCCCCCCCCCCCCACCCGTCCAACCATTCAACCATGGTCTCTCCCTCCATCTCCCCCACGTTTCCCTGCTCTCTCCCCTCTTCACCCCTTTTCTCCTTCCAACCATCACCTCCTCTTCCCCCCAACGCTCCGCCTCACCGATTATATTAACTTCTTTCCCCGCTCTGCCCTCTACGCCCTCCGCTCTCCCCGCATTTCCCCCTCCTTTCACCCCTTATCCCCCCCACCCCCCCCTCCTCGTTTGTTCGATCCAGCCTTCAACTGGCACGAATCTTAACCTAAATCAGGCGCGTGTGGTGCTGCTGTTGCCGCTGCCAGATACTTTTGAGTCGACTCAAAAGTCACCCGCATTTCCCCCTCCCGTTCACCCCTTATCCCACCCCCCCCCTCGTTTGTTCGATCCAGCCTTCAACTGGCACGAATCTTAACCTAAATCAGGCGCGTGTGGTGCTGCTGTTGCCGCTGCCAGAGACTCCAATGGGGCATCAGATGGCGGGAGGGTGCAGCAGATGGCGGGAGGGTGCATCAGATAACCGCCGGTAGTGCGCCTACTCGAGGTCGTTGGGTGATCAAGAGAAGGGAAACAAGGAGATGACGAGAAGGCACATTGAAGCGGACGTTACCGCGCAAGATGGTAAAATGAGAGAAAGGTGAGCAGTAAGGCAGTGCGCGGGGTGAGGAGAGAGGGAGGAGAGGGGGTGTGGCGGTGTTTGGTTGGGTGTGGTTGGGTGTGGTGGGGTGTGGTTGGGTATGGTTGGGTGAGGAGGGCATCCCTCATCTTCTCCCGCTCTCTCCCCGTTCCCTCCGCACTTCCATTCCCCCCGTTCCTCCCTCCTCCCCATCTCTCTCTGCTCCTTCCTCATCTCCTTACCGCTCAACCCTCAGATCCCCTCTGCATTTCGTTCCATTCTCCCCGCTCTCCCCCCTTCCCCCCTCCTCTCTCCCTGCTTTCATCTCATATCCTTGCCACTCACCCTCAGGCCCTCTCTGCTCATTTCTCTTAATTTTCCGCTCGTGTATACCACAGCCAGGGAGCTTCTTCCCTTGGGCAGCAGCATCGTCAGGAGCAGCAGCATCATCAGGAGCAGCAGCATCGTTAGGAGCAGCAGCATCAAGAACCTTGGATCATTGCCCTGTCTTCAGGAGATTCAAAGCTTGTGTTTTAGGATAATCAATAATTGTCTCCAAAAAATCAGGAACCTTAGATCATTGCCTCAAATACAACTCCACAAAGCTCACAGCCAAGTACAAACACAAGTGTCTTCAGGAGGCCTCCAGTCATGCAATACAGAAGGGCAATACCGTATCAGAATCCTCAGCTCCCCACAAGTCACTGCCTACACATTTTCTGCAAATTACTGATACGGGAAACTGCTTTAACTCAAGCCAACCGCAACAAGTGTAGCATACTGTAACTAACTACCGTATTACTGGCAGCAGTACCATGCCTAACACAACCAACCGACCGACTGCTAATCGGCCATCCTCTCCCAATCATCTTCACCATCATCTGCCCCATCCTCTGCCACTCCACCAACCGCAGCAGCAAGTGCAGCAGGTGCTGCAGCAGCAGACGCAGCAGGAGCAAGAGCATGAGCAGGAGCAGCTGCAAGGGTGGGTGATGCTGCAGCAGCTGACACTGCTGTAACAATGGTAGCAGCCATGGCAGGCGCAGGATCAGCCGCACCAGCCACACCAGCAGCGCCATCATCACCCCCCCATGCCTCATCCAACAATGCATGCCCAACCCCCGTTTTAATCACGGCTGCACCTCCCCCTCCTCTCCCCCAAGCCCCTCCTGCAGTCCCACCCGCCCCAGACCCACTTCCCCCAACTCCCACCCCTCCTGCTCCCCAGCCTCTACCCGAACCTGCACCGGCAGGCCCGGCCGAACCTCTCCCACCCCAACCACCAGTACCTATTACTGCAGACCCACCTGCCCCAGGTAGACCCCACGAACCTGTCCCACTCCCATACTGCTGCTGCTGCTGCTGCTGCTGCCCGTGCCCAAGCCCCTGCTGCAGCTGCTGCCCCTGCGGCTGCTGCAACTGGTACACACTCCCGCGAGCAACAGCACCCCAGAACGGTCTCGCATGATCCAGAAAACGCATGGCCGTGGCTGCTCGCCCCGGGTCCTCAAACACGGCCACGGCATTCCGATCGTCAATCCACACGAGCTCACACTCTCCTCCGAACCTCACGAGTTGGGTTGCCACGTTGGAGTCTCTGGGAAGGGATAGCAGCGCCACCACACGAGCCGGGTTGAGGTCGATTTCCGGGTCGAACGGTGGGGCAGGAGCAGTGAGAGAAGGGGAATACCCTGGGCCTAACGGCACTAGGTTGCTCCCAATGCCGCCGCCGCTGCCGCCGCCGCTGCTGCCGCTGCTGCCGCTGCTGCTGGTGCTGCTGGTGCCGATGCTGGTGAGAGGAAGCTTCCTGGTGGGAGCGCGGGACTTGGACGTGGTATACACGAGCGTGAACCGGTGCGGTTCGGCTCCCTTGGAAACGGTTTCTAACCGCCACCGACCCGCCATCTGATGCACCGCCTCCCGCCTCTCCCTCCCCATCGGCCTGAAGATATGCAGACGAACACTGTCCCTCGGCCACCCAGTAGCCGCGGCTGCTGCTGCTCCTCCTCCTCCTCCTCCTCCTCCTCCTCCTCCTGCGACTGCTGCTGCTCCTGGTGAGGTTTTGGAGGTAGGACCAAGAACTAGATACTGTAAGCGGGATTCAATGTCTGCAGCCCAACGGGGGTCGGCTCGAATAATCTCCATTACCGATAGAGACAGCTCCCCAGTGGTCCCAACACCACTACCACCGGTATTGCTGCTGGTGCCGCTGCTGCTGCTGATACCGCTCCTGGTGCTGCTGCTGCTGGTACTGTCACGGCTGTCCCAAATACTGCTACTGGTGCCAGTGCTGCTGGTAATACCGCCCTCTGCTGCTCCAGCCAAGGGATGGAATGCCTCTGCCAAAACTTTCCTCCTCTGAATCTTCTCACACTCTTCATTGCACGCCAGCTTGCACTGCCCGGGCGGAAACTTTCTCGCTGACCGGCCGCCACCCCCCGCCGCCTCCACAGGCTGCACCAGCGCAGTCGGCAGCCCGGGCAGAATAAGATTCCCGGTCAGCCAATCAGAATCTTTCCCGCCTGCCCCGCACGGGACTCGGGCGGAGAGCCGGCCGCAGGCGCAAGTGATGGTGGCAGGGGTGGTGCAGCGGGTTTCGGGACAGGGGGAGCCTATGTGACAGGTGGATGTGCAGGTGTGCTGGCACTGCCTTCTAGGAGCACCGCAGGGCTGACCACAGGAGAGAGGGCCGGTGAATCGCTGCTTCTGCTTCTGCTGCTGCTGCTGCTGCTGCTGCTCCTGTTCCTGCTCCACTTTGCTCGCAGAACCTTCTGAAGAATCCTCACCAGCAGTTACAGAGGCAGCACCAGCAGCAGCAGTTTCAGCCGCAGCAGGAAGAGTGGGTCCCGGCTCATCACAAGGCCCCACATGACACAGCTTCAAGCAAGCATGCACCCCACACTGCCGCCTCTTCCCACACACATTACTGCACCGGATATCCTTACTACCGCACGGCACCCCTCTCAACACCACATGACCGCCCACACACTCCTTGGCCACTGCAGAGGAACACGGCGGACAATCCCCGAAATGGCAGGGGTGATCCGGATCGTGCCCGCAATCTCTCGCTTTAGAGCAGGGCTGAGAGCAGGAGGGAGGGGAGGTGCCGCAGGGGACTGGCGGAGGAATAAAGGAAGAGCCGCAGGAGCAGGAAACTTCTGTAAAAGAAGCTTCTAGACAAGGCGGACAGTGGCCGGAATGACAAAGCTCCATGCAGGAGTGCTTCCCGCATCGAAGCTTCTTCCAACAGACGAGCATGCAGAGATGGGGGTCTGTGTCGGATGCGGCGGGTGGTGCTTTGTTTTTAGGGTTTTTCGGGCAGCAGCTGGTGTTGCAGCGGTGCCGCCCGCAGTTCTTCTTGGCGTTACACTTGCGGTTACAACGGAAGGGCTCCGAGTCAACACCTCCTGCTGCTCCTCCTCCTGCTCCTCCTCCTGCTCCTCCTACAACTGCTGCTCCTTCGGCTGCTCCTCCTGTCACAGCTGCAGCAAATTCCGCTCCTGTAACACCCTCATTAACGCCACCACCAGCACTACCAGCAGCGTTGCTGCTGGCATGAGTAATCAACGTTTTATAGCACGGCACCGTTCTGACAGACTCCCCACACGCACACCGCTGCTCCACTGGCTTCTCACAGGGGGGGCACTCGCCCACGTGGCACAGACTGCCACACATGTGCTGGCCACACGCCAGTAGCTTGCCACACCCGCCACCACACGTGGGTATGGGGTCTAGACACGAGGTGCGCTGTTTTTTCGCCTGCCCGGGTTTCTGGAGAAGGGCGGTGATTGGCTGCTTGCCGCACGGGCAGGTGTGCACGGCGGAGGGCGAAAATTGACAGTCACCACATGAGGAATCGGCATTGGTGCTGCTGGCGTTGCTGCTGCTGCTGTGGCAGCGTTTTTGGCAGCGGTGGTTACCACACGGAAGCAGCTTGTTACACACAGATTCGCAGGAGAATGCATCTTTGACGAGGTAAACCCCGCTGCTGCCGCTGCTGCTGCCTGTTGTGCTGTCGCTGCTGGTTGTGGTGTTGCTGGTGATTGTGCTGCCGCTGCTGGTTGTGGTGTTGCTCTCTTCAGAGGAGGAAACAAGAGGAGTGGAAAGGGGAGGAGTGTCAGCAGGAGTAGGAGCGGAGACAAGAGGAGGGTTACTTGGTAACAGACTAGAACACCGCCTCTGCTGCTCCTCCTTCCCACACACACACTGTGCCACCACCACCTCCTCACACTCCCCACACTCCCCCTCATGACACACCCTCCCACACACATGCCTACCACACCTCAGCACCGCATTACACCGCTCTCCACACGACACGCCCCCGGGCTTCGCAGCAGCCTCGCTGCACCGCCTCTGGAACCGCCGTCCCCCACAAAAGCACGACTCAGTATTAGCCATAGCGCTGCAAGGCGGACAGGGCCCCGGGTGACAAATCAGCGTGCACGAATGGGGGCAGGACGAACCGGGTAACCCTAGAGGCTTATGGCAGGTTTCGCCACAGGAATGGGGGACCAGGTAGGGATCGAACTGGGGATCTTCCCGCTGCCCACAGAAGCAGAAGTAGCGGAGTTGAGAGGGAGGGGTTAGCTGAACAGCCTGGCAACCCGGACACCTCCAGCCTTCGCCCCCAGCCCCTCCTGCCCCCCCTGATCCTGCTGCTCCTCCTGCCGCTCCTCCCGCTCCTCCTGCTGCTCCTGCTGTGTTTTGACTCGCGCTCGCGTTCCCGCCCGCGCTTCCGGTCGCATTCGCCGCGGCGAGGTCCGGCGCGGCGCCGGAGGACGGCGCCTTGGCCCACTTGCGCGTGCAGTGGAGGTGGAACAGGCTGTAGCAGCTGTGGCACGTCCAGACGGCAGCGGATCGCCCCACGGGGTCGTAGCAGATCATGCACTCCACCTGCCCGCTCCGCAGCCGGTTCTCTATCTCCTGTAGCAGGTGCGGAACTTCCACTCCGTCTCTTCTGGCGCCACTCGCGGCGCCTATCACGGCGTCCGTCTTGGTGCCTCTCGCACTTCGTTGGTCGGAATTGGAGCCGCTAGAACCTGGAATTGGTCTTCGCTGCTGCTGACGTGGCTGGTGTTGGTAAGGCTGCTGCTGTGTCCACTGTGGCGGTTGGTTGAAATGCTGCTGCTGCTGCTGCTGCTGATGGCGAAACGGCTGGTGTGAACCCGAAACTGGGGCTGATGCTGGTAACCCTGTTACCTGCTGCTGTGACTGCAAGGGCAGCTCTACCTCCCCTCTGTCTCCACGCCCTCCTCCCCCCCTTCCCCCTTCCCTGCCTCCTCTCCTGCCGCCCCCTCCCCCCCTTCCCCTTCCCCGCGCGCCTCCCTGCTGTGCTCGAGCATCTGGCGGGGCAAGAAGCGCGGGCAGGTCCAATATTCCAGGACCTGCCCGCGGTTGAACTGGCTGCAGAAAATCATTAATGTTAATAGGATGCGCAGCTGTCCCCCTGGACTGATTCTCCAACGGCATATTCCCCGCGCTAATCCCGCTCCCACGCATGCTTCCGTCAGCATTAACTAACACCGGCTGACTTGCCGGCTGAGGAGACTGGCCGGTCAGATCTGCCGGCTGATTAGACTGCCCGGCAGGCACCAGAAACGGCCGGTAAGGTTGGGAATAACCGCGGCGAGGCTGAGCGAAGTCCTGCGTCTGACGATCTGCAGACACGCCGTACAACTCTAGAAGTGTGTTGGCAGATCCGTCGACACCGCCTCCACCTCCGCCGCGACCACCGCCGCGGCCATCGCCGCGTCCGCCGCCGCGATTTCCGTCATATCCGCCACGAGCAAAATTATCGTCTGAGCCTCGGCCGCGACCTCTCCCTCTGCCCCGGCCACCATAGCCTCCGCGGCCGTTAATATCCTCCGGAAACCGGCCATTAGCTTGTGAAATACTGTCTTGGAAATTTCGGTCTTGAAAATATCGATCCCGCCCTCTGCCTCCGCCCCTGCGGCGGCCGCCTCTTCCGCTTTGCCGATCAGTACTTGCGGACAAAGATTCTGGAGGCTGAGAGTTGCGGTTACTGGGAGAATCTGCCTGGGCGTTATTATCCGACATGCTTACGTCGGGAAGACGATCGACGAGCGGCCTCTGAAGATTCGTTGGCGCGTGAGCTCGAAAAAAAATAAAGAAAACGAAAACGAAGGTATGGCGAGAGCCTGAATAGAATGCGGGGGTACTGAATATCTTTCTTGCTGTCTGCTTTTGTCGCAAGAACCAGACGATACCTGCTCAAGACTACCTACTACCTACAATGACCTTCAGGCAAAGCTGCTACTCACTTCAGAACTACGCAAAGCCGTCCTCAAAACAGGGATGTATGATTTGAATCCTTGCCGTGAATCGTGCTGGTGAGGTATGTTAGTCATCATTGACAGAAGAGCAGACCCGAGTAGAGCCGAGTAGAACCGAGAGGAAACAAGAAGCACCACGCGAACTCGTTGCGGTGGCACGCACTCAACCAGGGGAAAGGAAGAACCGCGCGTGCCAGGATGGTGGGGTGGGGTTTCGGGTGGTTGTGCGGTGTAGGTGTTGCGTGTGCACGAAGCAGGCGCGGGGTGGAAACCTCGAGGTTGCGCGGACGAGCAGAATTTGGTGGAGGAATCTGGGTTTCTGAAAACCCTGACACGCACTCGTTACACGAGCTGGGATTGGTTCTGGACTATTCGCGAACTCGCAATGGGAATGCTTAAAATTTGTGGTGTTACAGCTACACGCAGCAATTTCGCACTCGGTGTAGGTAGACCGATATTCTACTATCAGCTGCCTACACGCCCTTGATGTCGTCGCTGAATGGCACGAGCTGAAGCAAACCAGCGCCTTCCACATCAGCGGCGAACCGACTGTTCAGAGAGCGCCGCGTGGAGCAAAGCAATCCCAACGCCTGGCTAATCCCAAGCCCCGAATTACGATGGGCTAGTGGGCTCCCCTTTGGAAAGTGGGAATTTATTCCACCATATTCAATCTCAGCTTGTGTTATCAACCGTAACGAAACGTACAAGTTCAGGACTAGTCTCGTTTGCTGTTTATTAGCTTGCTCACTCTATTTTCTCAGGAATGCGTTTGTGGTATCACACTCATGTTTTCAGGAATATGAGCTGCTCTTCGTTTTCTCGCTATCTCTTTTTTTTGAACGTGCGGCCATGCGTAAGAGTTTAAGGACCTTATTACCTACGCCTTAACGAGTCTGAGGGCCTAGCTGCTTAGTTGACTAATATCCCTTACGCAGTTCAGTCGGCGTTTGACTCAAACATTCATCGCGTAGGAATTGCCATTGTTGTGCTCAAAACAGAATTGATTTAGGCCAGAAGGCGCGATCCAACTTCTGAATTTACTCCAGGAGTGACGGCGATATGAGGCCGGTTGTCGCGCCGCATCAAGCGCTACTCGCCGGCAGCAGGACCAACCTCGCAGCCGCTTCCGCAACCACTTCCGCTTGCGCCTCCGCCTGCGCCTCTGCCGCTTCCGCTTCCGCCTCTCCCTGCGCCAGCGCGGCTTCCGCCTCCGTCTCCGCAGGCGGCGTTTCTCCCCGCAGGAGGAGCGGATCGTACGCCAGAGCCGTCCGATCTCCCACGAGGGCTGTCCGAGCCGGCAGATCTGCCGTGGTTCCCGGCGCTGATTGCGGCGGGCCGATGTATCGTCTCGCTGCCGCAGCAGTGGCAGCTACAGCAACCTCAGCGCGTAGACATTCCGCGACAGCCGTTAGAGCAGCTACAGCGGCTGGTACGGATTCAGCCGCGAGAGCAGCGTCATATGCTAGAGCAGCTACAGCTGCTACAGCCACTAGAAATGCTACAGCCGCTACAGCGGCTACAGGCATTAACACAGCTACAGCGGCTGGAACGGCTACAGCCGGCACGGACCAGGCTAGTCGAATAGCCTGGAACAGACCGGCTGTAGCGCAACGTGATCTGAGCTGTAGCGCGACGGTATTCCTAGTTTCCCAGCCGGCTGTAGCTCGTTCAGCTGCTCCCCACCCGGCTGCAGCTCAACCAAATGTAGGTCGAAGGATTACGCCTGTAGCGGGTGCCACGTCACCGGGTGCTACTTATTCGTCCACGTTGCTTAACGGCAGTAGCAGCGGTCGCATCAACAGCAGCAGCGGGTGCTTTGCGGCTGGATTCACGAGCAGCAGCCCTCCCTGCAGGAAAGGTGCTGGCGGCGGTAGCGGCGGCGGCGGCGGCGGCGGTGGTGGTAGTGGTGTTGGTGGTGGCTGTGGCAGCAGCAGTGCCTTCAGTGGGAGTAGCAGCAGAACAGCAAGCAGTAACGGTGGTAGACAAATCAATAGGCTTGTACAGGCCGCAGCTGGTAACGCAGCGGCTAAAAGCGGAGCGGGCAAGAGCGGAGGAGGCTCTTTGGGTGAGAGGGTGAAGAAAGGCGCTCTGGTGGAATTCGAGAAGGAGCAGCAGAGGCACGTGGTGGGGGTGGTGATGCGACCGGAAGGGAAGAAGAACTGGATCGTTATGGATCAGGTACGTACGCGTTATATGCATCGAAAAAGGACAATCAAGAACCGAAAATTGAGAAAATTGATGCGGATTGGTTTACTAGAATGCTTGTGTCGTTTACCTAAGAGAACTCGAGCCCAAAATCCGTAACTCCGAAATTCCTAAGTCACATAGTCACACTGACGAGACACACTGATGAGTCACACTGATGAGATGAGAAATGGGAATGGGCATTGCCTTCCGTCCCCTCTCTTCCCCTCTCCTCACTTTCCTTCACTTCCAGTCTTCTCCCCTTCTCCGCCCCCCGCCCAACCCTTCCTTTCCACCATGCTTGAGAGACTTTTGGAGGCGTCTCAGATTTTAACATTCTCCTCCCCTGCTTCCTCCTCCTTTCCTCTCTGCCGCTCAACTGGAGAATTGCAGCACTTTCTCTGTGAAGCCGCAGCAACTGACATTTGTGGAAGTGGATGAAGGATAATTTCTCCCTTCTTTCCCTCACTTCCGCCCCCACTTCATTCCCTTTTTCCACCACATTGCGCCACAACAGAACGGCAACACCTTCTCTGTGAGGCCGCAGCAGCTGACATTCGTGGAAGTGGGGGAGGAGGATTTCATTCTCTCGTCTCTCCCTCACTCCCCCCTTCCATTCTCCCCCCCCACTTCATTGCATTGAGCGATGACAGAACGGCAACACCTTCTCTGTGAGGCCGCAGCAGCTGACATTCGTGGAAGTACGGGAGGAGGACTTTAACGCTGCCGATCTCTCCTCCTTCCTCTCATCTGTTGACTCACTAACGGTCAGAGACCCAACATTCTGCTATTGTGCAAAATTTCCAAGTTTCTATATGTCTAAACTCCCTTTTTGCACCATCTTAGCAAGAATGCTAAGAGAAGTCTCAGAACTCTTCTTGCGTTGCTTTTCGGTTTCCAGTTTTCAGTCTTACTCCGTGTTTCTGCCGTCTCTCTTTCTCTTTTGAGTCGACTCAAAAGTCTTTCCAGTTTTCAGTCTTACTCCGTGTTTCTGCTGTCTCTCTTTCTCTCTCCCTTGTAGCTGTCTGTGTCACTTTGCTGCCCACTGACAAGTTTCAATTCATAACCCTTAACCCAAAACCCCTGATCTTAAACCCTGCTTGTCCCCTGAAATACCAGGCTGATGGCTCTCTCCTCGAGATGGTGTGGGAGATGTTCCTTTCAGAGCAGCCCACAGTCACCACACAGGAGTTTGCAGAGGTAAACCCACACTCGTCTTGTTTTAAATTTATGCTCACTATAATCATACCTGGTAACCACCGCCACCACCACCGTCGCAACAGTATAGGTGTGGGAGATGTTTCTTTCAGAGCCCACAGTTACCACCACGCAGTAGTTTGCAGAGGCAACCAGCATGTATTAACCTTGAGTTGACCTTGTACTCGCTATAAGCATATCTCTTCAAGCAGCCCACAGTCACCTTTATCCTCCTCCTCCTCCTCCTCCTCCTCCTCCTCCTCCTCCTCCTCCTCCTCCTCCTCCTCCTCCTCCTCCTCCTCCTCCTCCTCCTCCTCTCCCTCACCCTCGCCCTCTCTACTCTACCTCCCAGATCGCCTTTGGAGAGGCTGAGGATCCGCTAGTGCCGCACTTTGCCGCCCATCGAATGCTGACTGCCGACCGCATCTTCTTCAAGAGAGTCCGCGGCGCCGCCCACTCCTTTGAGCTGCGGCCGCCCGTGCAGGTATCATTTTGTCTTGTAGTAAAGCCCATCAGTGCATGTATTATATCAGTCTTTTAGTCCGAGGCAGAGCCTTCCTCTGCTCGGTTATTACCTGTAATTAAAGCCTAGGCCAAAAGCCCCTGTCCTTACAGGCGAATGTACTTTTTACTCCTCTCTCCACCCCAACAGGTGGAGCAGCTGAGGAAGCAAGCAGCAGCAGAGGCAGCAGTGCGAGCGGAGCAAGAGGAGCGAGAGCAGAGAGGGCAGAGGGAGCAGGAGGGGGGAGTGAAATGAGCGAGATCCAGCGGGTTTGTTTATCACTGCTCTTTTTAACCCCAACTCCATCAGGTGGAGCAGCTGAGGAAGCAGGCAGCAGCGGCAGCAGTGAGAGCGGAGCAGGAGGAGTTCGTACCCAGCGTTGGAGAGGAGAGGCACTACGTTGAGAGACTGGCTTCACGACAAAAGCCCTTGTTCTTACATGCGGATCCGTTCCTTACTCCTCTCCCCTATCCCATCAGGTGGAGCAGCTAAGGAAGCAGGCAGCAGCGGAGGCAGCAGTGCGAGCGGAGCAAGAGGAGTTTGTGACCTGCGTTCGAGAAGCACTGAGTTGAGATTGCCCTCCTCAGGGCAAAAGCCCTTGTTCTCACAGGCGAATTTGCTCCTTATTCCTCACCCCTAACTCAACCCTATCCCAACAGGTGGAGCAGCTGAGGAAGCAAGCAGCAGCGGAGGCAGCAGTGCGAGCGGAGCAGGAGGAGTTTGTTACCTGCGTTCGAGAAGCATTAAGGATGCCTCCTGCCCAAAAACCAACACCGGAAATTTGGAGAGAAAGGATAGAGGGGACGGAGAGGGCAGAGAGGGCAGAGGAGCAAGGAAGGGCAAGGGAGGGGGGTGAAGGAGGAGGGGAAGGGGAAGGGGAGCGGCAGGGGCATGGGGTTGGGGGAGGACGTGGCGGCCCGGGATTGGCTGCGAGGATGCAGGCACTGTTGGAGTATGCAGAGGAGAAGCCAGGTGGCAACTCAGCATTGGCTGAGGAGGTGGGTGCGGAGAAGGCAAGATGATGGGAGAGGGTCTCGGGTGTGCACGCATGCCCATGCCCATGCCCATACTTCTGCCATGCTCCTGCCCATGCCATTGCCCATGCCCATGCCCCATGCACTGTGCCCACGCCCATGGCCATGCTCATGTCTTCCCGAATCCCCCTTTTTTGTGAGGTTTGCAGTATTTGTAACGCCTCGTCTGTGTGACACTCGTGGAATCTCCAAAGCAGCCTGCGACCTGCTCGTTCGTGCTGGCGCCCTTCCACTCCACTTCCACTCCTTCATCTCATCTCTCTTTCCGGCCCTCTCTGCCCGTTCCTCCCGCATTCCCCTTCTCCCTTCTGCTCCCTCCCACAGTCTCTGCAACTCCTCCGCTGTGTGAGAACGCCAGAAGCAGCATGTGACCTGCTTGTCCGTCCGGGCGCCCTTCCACTCCACTTCCACTCCTTCATCTCATCTCTCTTCCCGGCCCTCTCTGCCCGTTCCTCCCGCATTCCCCTTCTCTTCTCTGCTCTCTCCCCCAGTCCCTGCAACTCCTCGGCTGTGTGACAACGCCAGAAGCAGCATGTGATCTGCTCGTCCGCGCAGGAGCCCTTCCACTGCACTCTCACTCCCTCTTCATGTCTCCTTTTTCCTTCGCTTTGCCCATCCCCCCCCGTTCATTCCTTTGCCTCTGAATCTTACAGTCCCTGCAGCTCCTCGGCTGTGTGAGAACGCCAGAAGCAGCTTGCGATCTGCTCGTCCGAGCAGGCGCCCTTCCCCTCCACTCCCACTCCTTCCGCCTTGCTGCCTCCGCCATGCCTGCAACCTTCCCAGCAAGTGTCGCTGATTATTCTGCTAATCTCGCAGCTAACCCCCCACCAGACCCTGATCAGGTAGACATATTGTTCTTCTTCCGCGGCTCTTCCTTGCTGCTTCTCCCTACCCTTTAGGAAGGAGTGTTGTGAGACGTCTCAAAACAGCTACCTACGTCTCAAAACAGTTCTTCTTCCGCGGCTCTTCCTTGCTGCTTCTCCCTACCCTTTCCCCTCCCCATTACCCACTCCCTCGCTATTTTTTTACCTTTGAGTATATTTGTCTCAATCGGTCTTAATCTGCTTCTCTCGCCTTACCTTCCACCCCGGTCTGATAGTAGAGGGTTAATGGGCCATTAATATACCTTTCCCCTCTCTCCGCTCTCCCCTTGATACTTCTCCCTCTGTTTCCTCTCCCTCTCATTCCTCTCTTTGTCCCCTCTCCTCCTTCCCTTCCCCTCTTCCTTTCTCTCTTTCTTCAGAGCATACGTGTCGATCTGACGCATCTCAAAGTATACACCATTGACTCATACGATACAGTAGAAGTGGACGATGGGTTGATGCTCCTTGCACCAATCTCATTCCATTCCCTCCCTCCCCCCCTTCCCCTTCTCTTCCCATTCCCCCTTCAGAGCATACGCGTCGATTCAACTCATCTCAAAGTATACACCATTGATTCATAGGATACAGTAGAAGTGGACGATGGGTTGATGCTCCTTGCACCAATCTCATCCCACTCCCTCCCTTTTCCCCTTTCCCCAACCTGTTCTTTCCTATTTACCCCTTCAGAGCATACGCGTCGACCTAACTCATCTCAAAGTATACACCATCGACTCACATGATACAGTAGAAGTGGACGACGGGTTGATGCTCCTGCACCAACCTCATCTCATTCCCGCCCTCCCCCCCGACCCATTCTCCCCTATTCCGCGCTGCAGGGCATACGAGTTGATCTGACGCATCTCAAAGTCTACACCATCGACTCATACGACACGGTAGAAGTGGACGACGGGTTGAGTGCAGAAACCCTCCCGGACGGCCGGATCAAGGTCTGGATCCACGTGGCTGATCCGAGCCGCTGGATGAGGCTCGGCGACAGGCTTGACACGGAGGCTCGGAAGCGAGCCACGTCCGCGTATTTTGCTACGGGAGCCGTGCCTATGATTCCGTTCTCCCTGGCCGCGGGTCCCATGAGTCTCTCTCTTCCTCCTGCTCTTGCTGCTGCTCCTGCTGCTGCTGCTGCCGATGCTGCTGGTGCTAATGGTGGTGCTGCTACTGGGGACTCTGCTTCTGCTGTCGTCTGTGCGGTCACTGTAGTAGTCACACTGAATCCCGATTTCAGGTATGTATTTGGTGGTTGAGGGATGGATCAAGTGAATTAATGAGCTTTGAAATGTCTCGGTTCTGTCATTTCTAACGATATGTATGTTCCGACAAATTCATGCATTTTCCGTATCATTCTCTTTCCGACTGTTAACCGTTGTTCTCCTCCCCATCCCTCCCTCCCCCACCTCCCCCTTCCCCCTTTTTTTTCTGGCCCTCAGCATCGATGACGTGGACATCATGAATTCCTTCATCTGCCCGACCTACCGACTAGCCTACGACCAGCTTCCCGAAATGCTTGCAATGGCGGGCGAACACGAACCGGAGCTTCTCCTCCTATCAGACGTTGCTGCCGGCCGGTTACGTTACCGCATGCAAAACGGGGCAGCAAACATCTCAATCCCCGAATCCGACATCAAAGTTTTTTCCGCCACGTCACACTGCCCGGAAATCTCGGTCAGCACGATCGACCAGTCCGACCCGTCCCGGAGGCTCGTGTCCGAAGCTATGGTTCTCTGCGGCGAGGCTGTGGCTAGGTTCGGCGCCGAACGTGACCTGCCGCTGCCGTACCGAGGCCAGGGCCCTCCGGACCGAATGACAGATGAGGATGAGGAGGATATGCAAGCGCTCCCCGAGGGGCCATGCAGAGCGGTGCATTTGAGATCGTTTATGAGTCGCAGTGAGATCAAATGCTCCGGGCCGATTCCGCATGCTGGGCTGGGGCTGCAGGGGTACGTGCAGTTCTCGTCGCCCATCAGAAGATACTCCGACCTGCTCGCGCATTATCAGGTATGTGATGTAGTGTAGCTTGTGTGTTTGTGCAAGCATGTGCCCCCCTACTACCAACACCAGGTATGCTGGGCTGGGGCTGCAGGGGTATGTGCAGGTCTCGTCACCCATCAGAAGATACTCCGACTTGCTGGCGCATTATCAGGTATGGCATAGCCTATTCTGAGAGATTGCTCGCTGCTCATCCCGCCACCTCCCAGCGGATCTCACTGCACACCCGTCCACCCCCCAGCCGTATCTCACTGCACACCCGTCCACCTCCCAGCGCATCTCACTGCGCTTCTTACAAGAGATTGCTCGTCATCGTTCCGACCCCCCCTTTTTCCCTTGCTCCCTCCCCTTTCCACCCCCTCTACCCCTCCCCCCTGCCCGATTCTCTTCAGGTGAAGGCGCTTTTACGGGGTGCGCCGCCTCCGCTATCCGTATCAGATCTCGACACGATCGTATCGCGCTGCACCTCTTACAAAGATCTCTCTTTCTGGTATTTTGCCCTTGATCTCTTCAGGTGAAGGCCCTGTTAAGGGGTGAGCCGTCTCCGCTATCCGTATCAGATCTCGACACGATCGTATCGCACTGTGCCGCCCGGCAGCGCGAGGTGCGGCGGGCAGAAGGGGCGGTGGAGCGCTACTGGCTGCAGGAGTTCCTGCGGCGGCTGTTGACTCTCTCACACACAGACACAGATTGCTGCCTCTCACACAGAGTGCTCCTTCCTGATCGCCTCCCTCGTCGCCTCCCCTATTACCTCCCTTTTTGCCTTCCTGATTGCTCCCAGGTGAAGGCACTACTAAGGGGTGAGCCGCCTCCGCTATCCGTATCAGATCTCGACACAATCGTATCGCACTGTGCCGCCCGGCAGCGCGAGGTGCGGCGGGCGGAAGGGGCGGTGGAGCGCTACTGGCTGCAGGAGTACCTGCGGCGGCTGCCGGCCAATACCGTGCTGACAGCTGTCATGCTCAAGTGGCTCCGGGCTGATGGTAGCCCTCTGGCGCTGATGCTGGTAGAGGAGGTGAGATTGGGGGGGTTGGGAGGGGTTGGGAGGGGTACGGGTGGATGGGTGGAGGAGTGAGAGAGGTCAAAAGGCAGTGAGAGATGGCTCAGGCCATCTGGCAGCCTGCTGGCGCTGATTCTGGTGGAGGAGGTAAGGGTGTTGAGGGGGTGGGAGGGATGGGGAGGCCGTGTGGCAGAAGGGGTGGATATATTAAAGGGAGTGGTGGCTCGGGCCATATGGCAGCCTGCTGGCGCTGATACTGGTGGAGGAGGTGAGAGGGTGTGCGTGCGTGCGTGCGTGCGTGCATGCGTGCGTGCGTGCGTGCGTGCGTGCGTGCGTGAATCAGGTGATGACGGAAGAGGCAGACCCTGATCCACCCCCTCGTGTTCCCAAGTGACTCCGTGCTGACCCTTGCTTCTGCCCTCTCTTATCTGCACCCTTGCTGTCCCATTCCTGACGTCTTTTCTCTTAACGTGTGGGGATGGAGACACTGACGAAGATGCAGCGGGATGTGCGGGTGGGTGACTCGGTGGATGTGATTATAGCAGAGGCAGACTCTTTTTTCTTCTCTATGTTTATTCTTTGCGTTTTCTTCCCACAGGTGGGGATGAAGACGGTTATGAAGTTGCAGCGGGACGTGCGTGTGGGAGACTCAGTGGATGTGATTTTAGCGGAAGCTGACTTTCCTTTCTTCTCTATGTTTATTCTTTGCCTTTTCGTCCCTCAGGTTGGGATGGAGACAGTCATGAAGATGCAGCGGGACGTGCGGGTGGGAGACTCAGTGGATGTGATTATAGCAGAGGCGGATCCTGCAAGGGACAAGCTGCGGCTCGTGGAAGCACCTCCGAGTTTCAGAGAAGCTCAGATGAGAGGTTTGGCGTATGGGGAAGGAGAGGAAGGTGGGCTGGAGGATGGTGGGGAGGAGGATAGGAGAGAGGAAGGGGAATTGGAAGCTGGGGAGGGGGAGAGCAGTGGAGAGGCATGGGAGGGTAGCGTGGATGTTGAGATCCAGCCACTTGCAAAGCTATGATGCTGCTGATGGTGATTGTGATGATGGTGGTGATTGTAATGATGGTGATTATAGCAGAGGCGGACCCTGTGAGGGATAAGCCGTGACACGGCTCCTTCGAGCTTGAGAGAGGCTCAGATGAATAGCTGGGCGGATGGGGGAGAGGTGAGATATGCCGCTGATACCTGTTGCCCTGCCTTTATCGCACTTGAGTCGACTCAAAAGCTCCTCTGAGCTTCAGAGTGGCTCAGATGAAGAGCTGGGCGGATGGGGGAGAGGTGAGATGTGCCGCTGACACCTACCGTCTCGCTCCGTCTTTATCGTAGAAGAGAACATAGCAGGGGTATTGACGGTGGTGTTTGGCGCTCTCAGCACTACTCCCATGAAGGGTTCCTGACGTTCCTGGATTGAACTTGTAACAGTAAAAGAAGACCGGGGGAGAATAAATGTGCCTGGTAAATGGCAGATCGTTACCAGTGTATCCTAACTTACCCACATTGTAGCATATAGCCAGCATATTATGAGAACGTAGCAGCATTGTTCAAAAACAATGATTTCGTGTAACATTCAGCTTTGCTGTCATTGGAGTGACCTTGTGAAAGCTGTCAGCTATATTTTTCGAAATCCTCGCTGATGTTCGTCCGCCAGCTCACTCGTCATCAGAACTGCCTACGTGTTCGCCAGCACTTTCGCTACCCTAGGTTTTTTTCGTCTCGGCGATTTTTTTCTTTTTTCTTTTTTCATTATGAATATATCCAAATATACCGAAAGAGCAAGCGTATAGGCCAGGGCTGACGATATCAGGGTAATTACCCTGATTTCAGGGTGATTACAGGCTTCTCACTTGGTGGACCCTGCAATTTCAGAATTTCTGACTTGTGAACACTGATCCATTCAGAATAGTGCTTTAGCGAACCCTGAAATATTGTATCTAGGCTCAGAGTAGTGTTCTTACTGACTCTGTCAATGTAGAGTACGCGTTCTGTGGACCCTGAATTTGACCTTATCGGAAAGAAGTTTCTCGGACATTTCTTTCCGATAACCTCGCCTTCGGATTGGTCGTAGTCCAGCAACAGCGAAAGCATCGCGCGGCAACATGTCTGACAGGTGAATACACTCAATGTATGTTAGTGTTACAGAAGTCGAAGATGTTGGTCGTATTGTCTCAATTACGTGTGCGTGAAGTTTTCAACACAATTTTTGCGTTTCGCACAATGAAGCTGGCGAATCGCGAGTAATCAGCGAATAGGAAATCTTGGCACATCTTTGGTACCGAACTGTTTGGTGGACCGAAACTGCTCGTTTCTTCCCCGCGCTAAAACGTATGGAGATATACTAATTAAATAGAAGTAACGGGTCAGAAAGTAAAGCGCACAAGGTGTGCACGAAATGATGTCGCGTTGTGATGGAATCCTGCGGGGTGAAACTTTTTCCCCCTGTAACAAAGGGCGCGTTACTACTCTGATCCTCGAGTTTCGATCCTGAACAATCAGAGTTATATACTTTTCAACCCTGAGCAATCAGAGTAGCATTATTCTGAAAAATGTGCACTCATAATAGAGGGGAAAATTTTTCCCCGGAATCAGGGAGGCCTAATATGAAACTTCAGCCCTGGTATAGGCGATATATGTCAATCGTAACTGAGCGTGGGAGGCCGAACCCACATGGTGGCCTCACGTGAGACTTCTAAGGCAGATGCAGAGCTCCCCTTGCCAGGCTCCAAAGCGTGCCGAAACTGTGCGTCCACTTCCAACCTTTCACCGTCATGCAGCGAATGCGGCCAAGTAAACCGTCCTCCTACTCCGCCAGCGCATGAGTTCTCCTTTGTCCCTTTGAACCACCGCTGCTGCCAGTCTTCTTTCCCATTGCTCGCGTGTACACCTTCACATGCAGCCGAAAAGCTGCCTCGATGCGCCTGAGTACCCGCCCAGATCTGGTGAACGGCAATTGCAGAGAGGGTCGCTTCAGGAAACGCTGAGGCCGATGCTGCCTTTCCGAACAGCAGGTCCCCCAGGGCCGACACTTGCTTCGCAGGGTTCAGCATGCGCATGGACCGCTTGACTGCCACCACCACCTGCTGGATGCGCGGGCAGCTGAAAAGACAATGCTCCAAGGTTTCAAACTCCCCACAGTGCAGGCAGACCGGCCTGCCACTTAGAAAGGAGAGCATCTCCCCTACTTGCAGGTTGAGGCTGTGAATCCTAAGCAACACGTCACGCGGCTTGTTCGGTGTCACCAGCGAGTCCCGAACTTTGATAACTTTCTTCTAGTCAATTTCCCCTGACCATCTTCCTGCCCAAAGCTCCCTCTTAGCGGATTGACGCTTCTGCCCCTTCCAACATCCCTTCAGCTCTTCCAACCTGCCCATCCTTGAACAATGCCGATTTCTGAAGGCGGGGAAACAGAGGCGGAGGTACCAGTTGCTCGGCAGACAATAGACTCTCCTTCCAGGTCTGTGGTACCGCTTCCCAAGCCCGTAGTGCCAGCTTCGCTTGCTTAGAACCTCCCAGCTCCCTTGTCAGGGTTTTCACATCTTTGACCTTCCGTCCCCCCACGCCATCCGGTAGCAAAAGATCACCCAGCCGGAGCTCCCACAGCTTCGCCGCAGCCTTCTGACCCCCCACTGGAGTCCTGCTGTTGAGCAGGCTGTTGCTGTTAAAAACAATCCGCTCCGCTACAATTTCTTCCTTGGTTAGGGCCGGTAGTAAGTCTATCAGCGGCGACTGCATAAAGCTCCCGTAGGCCAGCTTCCATCTCTCACTTTTCCCACGCCAACACTTCAGAAGCTTCACGTGAGCGACTAAGGTGTCCGTCCCCAGCGGCAGGTCCGCCGCTACGAGCATAATCTCCCGCTTCAGTTCACTCGTCTCGGTGAGCAACAGTCCGATGCGCCTGGTTGCAAGACAGGTGAGCTCTATTTCCGGGTCCCTCACCCCCACACCGCCATCGGCCCTGGCCGTATATAGTAGATCCCGGCTCCGTCGTGCATGCCTGTTTGTTCAGGTTACACCCCAGGGGTAAGATGGATGACTTCTCTATGTTCGTTGCCAACCCCGAATCTGCCTCGAAGTCTGCTAACAACCGCTCTGCTTCCGCAATCTGTACTTCTCCTTGCAGGACTAAATTCATGTCGTCAGCATACCCCAGATACGCCAGCCGCTGCTCCCCCTTTCCAAGACCAAGTTTTCTAGCAGCCGCCTGCTGGGCCAACGGTTCCACCGCACACAGGAAGAGGTAAGGCGCAAGCGGACAACCATGCCGCACCCCAGACACCACGTCAACCGCTTCCCCCATCCAGCCGTTGATTAACAGTTTGGTCCGTGTATCCTTGTGCAGGCCCCTAACCCAGTCCACGAGACGGCTCGGAAAACCCATCCGCTCGAGCACCGTGAACAAGAAGTTCCTCGAGACCGAGTCGAAAGCTTTTCTAAAGTCGACCAGCAGAAGATACCAGTCATGATCCTTGTTCTTCGTGGCCTCGATAGCATCCGCAACCAAGCCCACCGCGTCCGACAGCCTTCTACCAGGCAAGAAATCGTACTTCTCCGGAGAGATGACTTCATGCAACACTCTTTTCATCCTGTCTGCCACCACCCTCGCGATCACTTTGTAGGTGAGGCTCAGAAGGGTGATCGGTCTGTAGTTCTCAAGCTGCTCCCTCCCCCCCTTTTTGTGTAGCAGGATGGTAACAACGTTATTCGTACTCGTCGGCAGCGTCGCCGTAGCTGCGAAACTGTCGACCAGCTTCATGAAATGTTTGCCCAAGATATCCCAGTGAAACTCGAACAGCTCCTTCGGCAACCCATCCTTCCCGGGAGCCTTATCCTTCGCCATCGAACGAAAAGCAGCTTTCACTTCTTCCTCCGACCAGGCCGCACACACCGCTTCCGCCGACTTCTGCGACAGAGACCTCCCGTGAGCAGGAGACCAAGCAGACACGGCCTGCTGTATGTCGCTTTCGAACAGCTCCTTATAATACTGTGACGCTGCCTTCATGATTGCTTTATTGTCATTCACCAGCTTCCCGCCTGCGTTTAACTCCGTAATCTGCGTCCGCCCCTTTCTGGCTTTGATATTTGCCGACAGGTGCGGGGAGGCCACTTCACCCATGAATTCTTCCTTCAACCCAGCCATTAGATGAAGTCGCTCCTGCCGAACCAGCTGGTAGCTCTTCAACTGCGCCTCTCTTTCGCCAAGCAAGGTTTTCAGCCGAGCACACCCCGGGTCACCCAGCCACGCATGTTTTAGCACCGCAACCGATCGCTGAAGGTGAACCATCGTAGCTCGGACCCTCTTCCGCTCCTCTTTCGCGTAAGCTCGTAGAGCAGTATTGAGGCGGGAGATTAGAAGCTCAAAACCGTCCCCACACAAGTCCGCTTGCCGCTCCACGGCTTCAATCACCTTTCTGACCCCCGGTCTGTCCAACATGTATGCAGGAAGCCTCCAAAGCCACGGGCCCAACTGCACCCGCATGTTCAACCTGAAAGCCGCCTTCACTGCAAAGCTGTGGTCAGAGATGGGGTCAGCCGGCATAATATGTGAGACGAACTCAACATGCGCCAGCAAATATTGCGAGATAAGTGCTCTGTCTATACGCGAACTGAGTAGAAAGTGAATTCCCGCCTGTATGGATGTAGAACTCTAAAAGCATCCGAGAGGTGAAAGGCGCCACAACGACGGTACAGCTCCTCATTCTCTTTCGTGGACCCCTTCCGTGATGTCCTATCTAACAGTGGATCTTCTACAAGATTGAAGTCCCCCATAATGAGCAGATGAGAACCCGGCGACACCGTGTCAACCACCGGACCCAGCACTCCGCGGATGAACGCCTTACGTTCAGCAACATCAGCCGGGAAATAAACCGCGACCAAGGTGATGTGAAAAACGCCAAGTCGAACTTCAGCTGCTACCAGCCGACTAGATGGGTGGATGAGGGTGTTATGCAATGACAGTTCGTGCCTCCGACAGATTAAAGCAACCCCGCCGGCTTTAGCGGTAGGAGAGGCTACCAGGATCTGCGGTTGCCTAAGCGAGTTCCAGTAAGGGTGATAATCATTGAGCCTAGAGTCCAACAATACGACGATATCTGCTGCCTGCTTCAACCAGTTCTTTGTACGCTGTTGCTTGTTACCATCCCCCAGGCCGTTGACATTCAGGCCTGCAAATGATATTAAGCTCTTTATACTCATTTAAACACTGCTTGAAGGCCCCCTTGCATCCACAGGCCGGTGATACAGGATACTACTACACAAGAACAGGCAACAGCGACAACCACACAGCTCCTCTTCAGGTGTCTGGACCCTGATCTCAGATTCCATGATCTTTGCGGATGACGTGCAGGCTCAACTTCTCCAGCGAAACACGCGTGGCCACCCCCAGCTTTTTGAGACCCAACAGGTGACTTGCCGATGTAACATGGTCCGCAGCAGCCATGAAGGTCTTGCCATGAGATTTCCCACAGCTTTCCTGGGTGCACAACCACTCCTCCCGGTTGCTTCCAGTGGAGATGAGAACAAAAGCCGCATCCAGCAGAAGCGGGGTAACAAGCGGAGAAGCGCAGAGAGAAGCAGCTGCGAGGGACAGACGCGACGTTAGCGACCGACGACGGTGAGTACAATAAACGACTGCAAATCCAGAAAGCAGAGTTACCGTTAATCCTATGCACCCGACCCACTGTCAAACTCCACTTCCCTATGTTATTCTGACGTTCCGTGACGAACGCATTATGAAACTTGTCATAATGGTGCCCACCACAGAGCGAGCAGGATAGCAGGGGGAAGTGGGCCAGCAGAGTCGTGCCACCCAGCAGCTGATGACGATATTCGTGACGCCAGTGGTGCTTGTCGCCAGCGTGCTGAACAACCAGCCCCTTGATCTTGTCCGTGTCAGCGCCGGTCACCGGATGAAGGACGCGGTGAAAGCAGTGACCTTCGCTGAAGGCCGACTTCTTCCGGATCTTGAGCGGATGCTTCACCATCACCTCCAAAACCAGCTCCGGGGGAATGTCAGCGGGGACACCTTTGAAATACACCTCCAGCATCTGCGGACTTGTCGCCTTCATACGCAGGTAAGCTGGATCCTCCTGGTGCAGCCAGAAACAATGAATCGTAATTTCGTTGGGACGCTTATGATCCACCGATGTCTGCTTAATGTTCACAACGTCGGACTCTCGCAGGAATGACACTTGGAGACGATTAAAGCGGGTCTTGGCAACAAAGGCGGGAAGCAACTTCACCGTGGCCAAGACGTCATCAGAGAGGAGGTTTGCCCAAACACGCTTCATAAGCGTTCGCACAATTAGAATAACATAAGCGACTTCATGTGACGGGATCACTGGAAAAATCATAATCACCGTCGAACGCAGGTGAGGGGAAAATCCTTTCCTCGCATCAATCTCCAGCTCCTCATCAGAGTCATCTTCGATAATTGAGTCGTCAGCAGCCACCGTGGCCAACGCTTTAAGCTTCTCCTCGACAGAAAGGCCTGAGCTCCCAGCGGTAACTTCCGCTTCGGACGGTAGATTAATGTCCACATCTGACCGCTTGCTTGGCGCTGACTTGCTCGCAGGATCAGAACCACCAGCACGGTTGACCAAGGCAGCATCAGCCACTGCCTTGCGGGAGTTCTTAGGAGGCATCGTGCAATGATGACAAGAAGCCGGCCGAAACTCTGACAGACGGAGTTGTTGAGAACAATGAGCCGGTAGTCTGAGCACATCACTGTTAAATAGTAATCTTGCCAAAGCCTTAGCCCAGTGCTCCTGACATAGGTGTTGCTGGGCCGCAGTGGGCAGCAAACGTGCCGTCTCATGTACAATTGTTGGTCATGTCCACCCTTTCAGTAAAATGCAGTGTTACAACTCCAAATGTGGTAACAGACAGGATTTATGAACGGTAAATGTACGCGCTGGACACGCCCTTATGTTTGCGGGAAATGCGTTTCGGAGAAGCCCCAGATGTGTTTATGTGAGCTTAGCGTCAGTTCCGGGAATGTCAGGTGCCCAAATGTGACCATCCCTAGCGTCAGATTCGGGCTCGTCAGGTGCCTCTCCAGATGTGACCATTCCTCCCCCGCGCCGCCGAGTTGGCCGTAGCGCGAATTGTATGTGCTGGTGCATGGATGACATGTCGTGCTGGTGGCACCGTCATGGACATGTGAGATATTTCTTGAAATATTTCTTTGTTGGGACTCGGGAGTCGGGACGATGACTTTCAACTGCCCTAACGAGCCGCACCCCGCCGCATAACTACTAGCAACATTTTTCGCTGTCGTTGAACAACGTCACGTTATCTAGTCCCGCCTAACTCGCTTCTGAAACCTACATATTTCACGGCCACTAGAACTATCAACGGCTCGTCTCCTTGACTTTCTTTATTATGGAGCGAATTGTGCTTTGCTGGGTACTGATATGTGAGCGCCCACAGACGCCTTCCGCAACTGCATCCACTGAGTCAGAATCTGCCGTTCCGAAACGAGTGATGTTTGAGTCAAACACCTTCTGATTAAAGCTCATCTTGGGTGTTATTGTCCCTTGTGCAGTTGTAACACTATTCACGGCTGGTGCAGCGCGGCCTGCAACGTCGTCGCTCCCAACCGATGATTCCCCCTCAACGTCACCTTCAGAGCCCCTCGCAGCATTCCTCCCCGCCGGACAGCTGCCTGTCGCGTCCTCTGCTCAGGCCGCTCCTTTGGTGAAAGGGAAGATTTTCTGTAAGTGCTCCCATTGAGCCTGGTTCCCAACCAACCCCCCCCAACGTCACCTTCAGAGCCTCGCAGCATTCCTCCGCGGCGGACAGCTGCCTGTCGCGTCCTCTGCTCAGGCCGCTCCTTTGGTGAAGGGAAGGTGTACGTGTTCCCACCCGAGCGTGTTGTTTTTTTCGGAATAATTTTTTAGAACGCGTCAAGTGCCATGATAATTCGAAAGTTTCGTTGAGTGACTCATATGAAATCCTTCAGTTCTGTCAGCTTTCAGCGGCGAGGTTGTTGGGCTGTCACCCTTCCGTTACCACTCGATCCACCAGTTGCGTAGGGTAGGGTCCCACGTTCTTTGAAGCAACAGTAAGCCCCGTTCACGCACGTCGCGTTTTGAGACGTCTCAAAAGACGTCTCAAAAATTTTGAGACGTCTCAAAAGTTCTTTGAAGCAACAGTAAGCCTCGTTCACGCACGTCGCGAGTCAACGCACCTAGCTCCCTTGCACCAATCACCCAAATACTACCAAAAACGGAAACATCTTGGGTATCTAACTTTGTGCCTACCCTTCCCTGCCCTGCCCTGCCCTGCCGCCCTGCCCTGCCCTGCCCTGCCCTGCCTTCCCTCTTTCCAGTGCGATATGTAGCCAAGCTCACTCCCACTCGTGAAAATGGAACGGTAGTTGGCGACCTAGGAGCAACTGGATTATCAATTATACTGGGAGTGAAGTGAGTCCTTGCAAACCATAATTGGCTTTAGTGCAGCCCTGCAAATGGTGACACTGGTTAAGCCTTAACCAATTAAGCTCAACGCAGAAGAACAGGTTGCAATATGTGCTTTAAACGCGTCTAAGAATGTAAACGTGTCTTGTTCTCCTGTCTTCGCACAAATATAATGTGAGGATCCTTGAATCAACACACGTGGTGCTCCTGTCTCTCCCGTTTTCCCCTTTCCTCGGTGACAGGGCCTCTGCAAACGCCAGCTACATTATGCTCAACGCAAGAATCAACAACATCAAGTCTGGAGGGTCCCAGCTTCTCACGAACCTCTTTTGAGAATTCTCAAAAGTAATTTCCTTCCTTTTCTCCCTTGCGTCGGTGACAGGGCCTCTGAAAGTGACAGCTATGTTGTAATCAACGCACGCGTCAACAACATCAAGTCTGGAGGAGCCATGCCCCACATGAGCTACTTCAAATCTTGCCTTGCCGGCAAGTACAAGGAGACATTTGACGGCAACATTTGGGGGAACACCACGAGTGCCAGAGGTGGTAAGCCGAATCGCTACAGCTTCAAGTCCTCGTTTGTTATAGGACCGGTGGCAGAGGCAGATGCTCGGGAAATCATTGGATACCAGATTGGTAAAGCATCAGGCTTGTATACAGTCGTGACTCATCCGAAAAGTAACTATGCACTTTGCGGGAGGATGAAGCAGCAACCTGTTGAAGCATGACCATTTTACAGTGGGATTCTGGCATGGTAAATACCGTAGTAGATAGGTAGGGCTGCAAAGAGCATTGCAGAATTGTACCGTACCATGCCGTGTTCTTGCCGGCATAAGTACCGTACTGTAGGTTCGAATGATCGTGTTACTGCATTGTGCAGTTAGCAGGGACGTGTGTTACGTGTTGTGGAGGAGCAAAAAGAATCTTAATTTGGTTGGAACCTTTGATGCAATAATGCGCGCCTGTGTAATGTAGGTATAACAATTAGGCACTACCGACAATACTACCGACGTTT